ACAGAACACCACTCGGGTTCAGACCGGGCGGGGCGACTATATCTAGTCGGAACCTCACAGCCTCGCGCACCAGCTCAGGCTCCTTCCCCACCAGAGAGGCGACATTCCATGTCCCTAGAGCTAGCTTCTGCAGCCGAGGATCGGACCGCCTTCGGCCACTGCCCAACTCACACTGCACCCGACCCCTATGGCCCCTCCTACAGGTGGTGAGCCCATTGGAGGGGGGACCCACGTGCCTTGTTCGGGCTGTGCCCGACTAGGCCCCATGGGTGTAGGCCTGGCCACCAGGCGCTCGCCATCGAGCCCCACCCCCAGGCCTGGCCCTAGGAGGGGGCCCCGGTGACCCGCGTCCGGGCAAGGGAAATCGTGGATCCATGTTATTACTCATCATAAGAGGTTTTGTGAGCCGCACTTAGTCTGGTTCCTCACCCAGGACCTGTTTGCCTTGGGTGACCCTACCAGGCAAACCAGGAGTTTAAAGCCCCAGGCAACTTAGCTCCTGGGATCATTGGAACACGCAAACCTCTCCACCACGATAAGGTGTCGGCTCCAGGAGAGGTGGTTTGATAATGTATTGTTATATCAATTTATTTATTGTTTATGGAGACAATACAGTTAGTCATTAAAATGGCTGGAAAAACAGATCGGGCAGTGCCAGAAAATGCAATGTGATGTATGCACTGACAGTGGCAGAAAATGTAATGTGGTGTACACATGCTCGAAAATGCTGTGCATGCGCAGACAAATCAGGCAGGCGGTACGGATCAGGGATCAGGGATCAGGTACTGACAGACACCCCCACAAAGCCCCGCCTACTACTCCACACAGCCTCATCCACTCACACTGTGTCCAAAAGAGGCCAGATAATGAAACACAAAGCGAAATGCAGAGCAAAGGAAATTAAACATTGAAGAGCATAACAGATGTACCTTCAAGAGAAATGCGTGCTGAAAAAAGAACTATCCATATATATAGCCGCTAAAAAAAATTGAGACCTCTCTATATTTTTAAACAAATCTGCATTTTTAAATCCTGGTTTAATCATAGTTCTGCAGGCAGACAGCTATGCTGAGCAGCAGGTTGCTTTTAAGTTCAAAAGCCAGCCAGGTAAAGGGCGGAAGTGACATTCTAATGCCAGAGATTACTATTAACTTATCTCACAGTTTCTCATGAATCGTAGGATTACATCAAGTGACCTTCAAATGGAATGGTGTAGGTGTGAGGTGACAGTTCGTATCAGGCTTCTAGAAGCAGGACTGAAATCCAATGAAACAAGGAAGAAGCCCTTCATTAATGAAAAACAGAGACGAACCAGGCTGCAGTTTGCAAAAAATATATATTCAGACGCACACCCAGAAATTGAGAAACAAAAATTGTGCTGTGGTCTCTTAATTTTTTTGCATGTGTGTGTATATATGTATATATATAAAAAAAATTAAAATATATATATATATATGTGTGTATATATATACAAAAAAATTGGCAGAGAAAAAAATCTCTCAATACATTGATTTGGTTTACAGATTACATCACCTGCAGTGCTATGTGGTTGTAATTTGACTCCATGTGCGCTTAGTCAACTTGTAGGTTTTTTTTTCTTTTCATGTGAAACAGAAGAGCAAAACAACACTGAAAAAATAATGTTATGCAATGTGCTATAATGGATATAAGCATTTACCTGAACAATTCTTACATACTTGAAATAATTGTTTATACTTCAGGCACTTGGATATTTAATATTTTGCATTTTTTTATAAGAAGTTTTTTTATGTCTTATGTGATATTGTTCAGCAGATGTACTTTTTGTTTTCCAAATTATTTTAAAGAATGGCAATGGCAACTTTATTTATAACGCATTTTCACACAACGAAGTTGACCAAAGTGCTACAAGTGTATCAGAATAAGAATAAATGCCAAAAATAAACTTAAAATCACATCTAAAGTACATAAAAAGTAAAATAAATAAAATAGACTAAAAATAATAAAATAAAAATAGAATAAAAGTAAAAAATATAATAAAAAACAAATTAAAAACAAATTAAAAATGTCAACATGTCATGCTGTACCAAAGGCCAAAGTGAACAAATGTGTTTTGAGAAGTGATTTAAAAACAGATGTAGAGGATGCTTGTCTGACATATAAAGGCAGCTCATTCCACAATTTAGGTGCTACCAACGCAAAAGCCCAATCCCCTCTGAGCTTCCGACTAGTCCTAGGCACACTCAGAAGGAGCTGGTCAGCCGACCTGAGAGACCGAGAAGGTGTATATGGATGAAGGAGATCAGAGGGTTACAGAGGGGCAACACCAGACAGACACTCATAAACAAATAAAAGCAATTTAAATTGGGTAGAGTGTGTGTGTGTATTTATGTATATATGTATATATATATTTGTGTGTGTGAATAGAATTGAACACAGACACACAGAATATAGAGATAGAGATATTGTCTTTCAGTCTTATCACCCTGCCCTAGCCTAAGAAGCAGTATAAAGTAAGAGGTAGAGGTGTAGGGCCAGACCTACCTCTACTGCAGAACTGCAGTCTGTACTAGTGTGATGGCCAGCCGATGCTGTCACCCCAGCCAGTCATGGTGGCTGATGTTTTGGCAGATGAGCATCTTGTTCATGGACGTCCAGGCCGTGGCTCAGTCCCTCCAGCTGCTCCCGCTCTGCCACAAACTGAACCTGGAGCCAGAACTTGTCCAGGTAGGTGTTGAAGTGTCACATTACTTGAGTTAAATTGCCAGAATGGTTTTCCCTTTAATTCCAAATTGTATAGCAAAACTTGCTCTCTAAGATTTTATAAATTTTTATTTAAAAAATTCATAATGGAACGTCATAAAGTGCAGTGTATTTTACTGTGCCTGGGCTTAAACAGGGGTGTTCAGCTACTATTCTTCTAAATATAATATGTGGAAGGTGTAGCTGACTGCCAAAATGCACCAGCTAACCTGGGGTCTTATCCACAGGCTGTGCTGTCCGACGCCATTCGAGGTCTTTAGGTCATTAGGCTATGCTGTGTCATTTGCTGCTGCTTTTCGCTAAAGTCAGGACTCCAGATTAAGATTTCCAGTGGTAGCAGTGGTGCTACCAACCTTCTCAGTTGGTCGCACCAGCACATGATTTGGTCGCAATCGTTTTGGTGCAGCATGGTATTTAGCAATGACCTTAAATGCTGATGAATAATTGCATCCCAGTCTGCATACTCTAGTTTCTGTATTGATGAAAGTTTGACATTAACTCAAAACTTGATACAGTAACACATTAGTGAGGGTTAGAGGCACAGATTCCTGCGAATGCGACAGTTTGCAAATAATACTTGGGCATCACTAACCTCTACCCATAACAGATTTGCTAGCCTTCAGAAATATAAAACATGTATTAATTACCAATTTCTAAACATATACTGTACTGTGCACTTTGCATGTCAAATTACTTTGTCATTCCATATCAAGACTTTTGTGTATAACATATAAACCATCTCAATGATCTCCCTGAACGTACAAAGTTATCACTCTACACTTTGTAAGCATTACAGTATGGAATCATTATTAAAAATGCAAAATTAGCTGTACTGAAAAGTTCAGAAGTTACTGTAAGAAATGCAAAGTTCCACAGTCACAAAGACAGGCATCAGCTACAGACCACTTAATTTTTGGAACACGTTAACACCACAGCTAAAGGCATTGTTTCACACATTTATTATTAGTCTGCGTATATGTACATACTCCTGCCTGCAGGTAGGGAGAGACCAACTCAAAAAAAAAAAAAAGTCACACTTAACCATTGAAGACAAAAAAAACACTTTCAATCACAATTTAACGCAGTACCTGTGCAGGAGCAAAACATCATAATCATTATCATACATTAGCACAGATGCAACCATGTGAAATTTTATCTCTTACATGATCAATAAATGGCTTGTATATGCAAGCATTTGGTTGTGGTCTGGAGCCAGGAAAGTGCAGTTTTATATGTAACAGAAGTTTTCACACCACAGCAGAATCCCTCTCCACCAGCTATATTTGATGAAACTGCTTTATTAGGTGTCAGGTTTGCGATCAGCAGATTCTGAATGTCCTTTGTTTTGACCTGCACACATCACGAGGAAATGTATACTTTCAGTATTTATTTTGCCTTGATTACTTAATGGCTTCCTTAGAAATTACTTTCTACTAGTGAGAAAGAACGTGTTTGCAGTGAGTTTGGAATTTAGCACTAAGGACATATTTTAAAATATCAATATTTCTTCTTAGAAATTATTGAAGAGTCTGATTCCTGGGGTCTTCATTAAAGCCTGCTATTCTTGTTTTGAACCTAAGCCTCACACTGGCTTGATGCACACATCATAGTCCAGTGTTTGTGCACTCCATTTGCCCACTGCTCGTGCATCTGCCTTTTTGCACCAATACTATTAGTCACATCCTTCATCTTGTGTCACATTGTAAATGAACCCCGTGGCTGTTCACTCTGCTGTCTGGCCTCAGGTGACAATGCCCTCAGAACTTCCCATAATGCCGCTGAAGGTCCGACAGGAGGCACGCATGACGGAGCAGCTTAAGACCGCCGGCACCGCTCACCGAGGCTTTGCCAGGGGCCTGGCCTCTCCCACTGTGGCTGTGCCAGGCTCCCACAAAATTCAAGGGCTTCCTCCAAACGGCACCTCTGCACCCGCATCAGAACCAGAGGTTGCCGACGAGGAGCTGGATTTCCTTCTGAGTTTACAGCATCCTGCCACCAACATGAAAAACAGCGAAGCAGATTCCAAACAAACAGCGGACGTTCCAGGTACTTACTCAGTCATGCAAATCCTGACAGCCTGCAGTGGTGCATGTGCTCAGATACTGGCTCTCTCTATTAGTAGTATTGCAAATATATCACCACTGACCAGTGAATAGTTGCATAAGAAATATTTAGCCAATCTAGATGTGTGTTTTTATACCATAAAGACCACATGTAGCATGGAATTAATCTGTATGCACGAGTCTTAATACAGCATAAAAAAAAATTACTTTAGACATTGATTGTAAATTGACGCATTTTTAAAATCACTGCTATTGGTTCATCATGGTACAACTATTATAGTAAGTAGTACTTTTTGTGTAAAAATTTTATTGTTCTTAACCTACTTTTTTGTAGTAAACGCCCTACACAGGTCAAACCAGTAGTGGGGAAAAGGTGACGAGATTGACAGTTTGCACAAGTTAAACTTTCTAAGCATTTGTGTGAAGCAGTATCATTTGAGGTCGTAACCAGAGTAATTTCATAAAAACCCAATCGGCATCTTGCAGTTTTTTTATACTCTAAAACAATGTTTCCCAGTCTGGTTCTCATGGAGCCCCAGACAGTCCATTTAAATGATACCTCCTTAATCATAATGTGAAGACATTAAGACAAAGCATCATTTCTGGCAGATTGTAGAAAAGAGGAATATTTTCTTATTCTAAAGAGAGATTTTAACTATTTTATGCCATATGCTTCTAATGTCTGTTGTAGCTGAATAACAGAATCACTTATAGAATATGCTGCAGGCAATTATATTTATATATATATATTTTTAACAGATATATTTTAAATTGTGTTTGAAATTTGAGATTTTTAGCCTGCATGTCAAGTCTAGGCACATGCTGTTTGCTTTCCAGACAATTCGCTATTTATGGAAAGCCATTTGAGCATTTATTTGTTTTGCTGTACTAGTTCGGACTTTGGCTGTACTAGTAAGACATCCTGGCGCACTAGTACGCGACTAGGTCGTACTAGTCAAGCTTTTTCATCAACTTAACGTGTGGGCCTGAAATTTGCTACATTAGTTAACTAGTAAGGCTTAAAATGCTTACTAGTAGCACTAGTATAGGCCAAAAGCTCCACTAGTGACACTACTAAAGGCCAAAATGTCCACTAGTTGCACTAGTAAAGGTGTTTTGACCTCACCAGTTTGATTAATAAGGGGCAATAGTCCACTAGTGACACTAGTGAGAGGTTCAACTAGTTATCTAGTGTTCATTTTGTCCTTCACTAGTGTAAGTGTCTTTTGCCCTACTAGTTACACTAGTGAGGCTAAAAGTGTTTACTAGTAGTACTAGTCGAAGCCAAAATGCTCATTAGTGGTACCAGTTGCACAAAATTCTAATCAGGAGGCGGGAAAGGGGCAAACTTTGAAGCTTCCTATTGGTTCCCCAGCAAAAGCTCCACCCAGCCAAAATGTAACCCTATAAAGCCTGGTGAGCTTTTACTGTCATTAGCTGCCTTCTCCTAGCTTACAATCCATGCAGAATAAAGCATGAAAATGAACCTAAAAGGTATTAAATCATTTTAATGTTTGTGCAAATTCACTTCTTGCTTTATTTATTAATTTATTTTTTATGTTGAAACAGAAAGCTGTGTAATCGGTTTCTACTGAGTGCGTAAGCTAAAACAAAACTGCTTCATTGCAAATATGAGACACCAAATCTGACAAAAACAGAGCGATGCCATGTGCCGATACTAAACCTTAGATATAGATTTTTAAAGAATCTGGACATGAAATTAGATCTTAATCAGAAATAAGTCCAATAAAGATTAAAAATGGACATAACTGGAGCCAATCATCATTGTGAAAACTTTGCCACGTGCATACTTAAGTCTAAAAAATGCTGGAGAAGAAAAGTTATTGGCAGATGTTTTACCAGTCTACCTGCTACACCAACCAAAAGGGATTTTAGCATTTTTGAATGTATATACCTCTGTATTCTCTAGTCAACACCCTTAATTAACTATCCAACATCATACCTAAAGACATTCACAGCTCAGAGCTGCTGCCAAGGGGTGAAAATCAGCCAATCACTAAAGTTATTATGCGGTTATACACAGGGCAGCTTTTTGAGCAATGTTCTCAGGCAATTGCCACCCAGGTGAGACAAAGGGCAACTCTCCTGGATCAGGATGATCACAAAAAGTTGCCCAGTGCTGATCAAAGTCTTTCCAATAGAAGTCTGTTGCCCAGTATCAATGGGAAAGTGCCTGAGCAACATTGCCCCATGTATCATCACCCTTTGTCTATGCATAGCATTCTAATGTTAGAACTGTGTGTGTGTGTCATACGCAGAGCGACCTCCAGTAGGGGACACTCTTGTGGAGCCAGAGCCAGTGAAGAAGCCAGATCAAACAGAAGAGGACCTGGAGGACTGGCTGGACAGTATGATCTCCTGAATGCTGAGGAGGAGCCTTACTGAAGAGGGCACATACCAATGCAGTCCTGCCCTTCACATCCTTGGCATTTATTCAAGCTTGACATATAACGTAGTTCTTCATATGGCTTAAGTAATCGTGATCAAAAGGGATTTCTTGTATGTAGAATATGCATGTGTTGACTGCTCTCCTGTCAGAACTGCATTGGGGCTTGAGAGAGATCATGATACGCAGTCACAGGCAGAATGTCGTATGGGGAATTTCAGCCAGCACGTCTCAGGAAAAGGCCCCTGGTTGCAGTTACGTGGGATTTAAGATGATGCTGAGAGAGTACTGGACCTTCCTGGAATGTCAAATATGTAGTAAATTATAGTCTAAGGCCTTAGACTGGGATATTTAAATGTGTGCTATGGCACAGCATGTCTCACTGTGGTGGATGATGGTGGATTTTGCAGTTCCAGAATTGCTTTGCACTTCAGTATCATGTATGTTGTGTTTTCACATATGGAACCAAAATAGTGTTAAGTTCTAATGTTAAAAAAAAAAAAAACTGAATGTTACTTTTCTCTTAAGAAAAGTTGAACAAGCTTTATTTTGCATTTCATTTCTTTTTCTTTTTTTTTTCTTTCTCCAAAGCAGTTTCCATAAAGCATTTAGTTTCAATTCTAGTCAGAGGTATGTGTGTTAGCGAGTTCGGACTCTGTGCCTGTGCTTGGAAGGTCACCATAGAAACATGCCAGGTGATTTGCTTCTAGAACTCATTAACCCAATACCTTCTGTTTCAGCTTATCAGGACAAATGGTGACTATTCTGACTATTTAATTATAGACAGTTTTCAATATATTAAAATAATACTTTGCTACTCATTTTTGTGTCGAATGAGCGGTTGCTAGAGGAGTCCTGAATGAGGCACATTACCTGCATTGTGAGGGATTGTCAGTTACAGCACTACAGCCATGTGGTGCGTTTCCCTGAGGGTGATCCGGCTCAGAGAATCCTCATTGCTGAGGACCCAAGCGGCTGGATCAGGCTTGGGGACACCCATATAACACCTGGCTGCGGCAGATGGAAGGCCGCTTCCAGAGGGTGGGACTGGACCGTGGATCTGCCTGGGGGATCGTTGGTCGGGATCCCGAGGAGTGTCACTGTGGCACAACATCAGCACATGCTCCCCAGCCTGACCTGACCTGTACTCATTTTCTTTTGTATTTGTACAAGTGACGTAAAGCCTTATAAATGACAAAAAGCCTTACAAAAAGCCTAGTTTGTAGCAAGTACATAATGTAATGACCAATTTAAAACAAATTATAAGTCAAAGTCCTTAAGGCACCTTGCTGAGTACTACTTTTATTCAGTTTTAGAGTTTAGCTAAAAATGGTAATTATTGTGCTTCATTAAATTGAACTTACATATTAGTAACCATTGTATAGCATGATTCTTCACAGGTTTTCAATTTGATCTCACGTGGTCTATTTCATAATTATGCATTGTATTTCCATCAGAAGTACTTGCATGATGCTATATTACCACTAAAAATCTGCTTAATTGGGTAGATAGTGCTAGCATGTGACGTTTGAGCCCCCATAAAAGCCACAACCCATGCAATTAAAGAAAAATTATGTATGGAGCTACCACTTCTAACACAGAGAGAAGAAGCTATTTTATAACATGGCCCTTGATGCTGCTGTTGTCAGCTAGCCTGGTGGTCAGTGTCTAAAAGGACTTATTTGAGCAAAATATATACAACTAGAACCGTGATCCAGTTATATCAGGAATGGCCTGTATTTTCATCACTATAGCTACTCTGTTCTGTCTTGTTTTGAGGTCCCAGATGCTTTTAAAATGGAACTGGCACTAATAACACAGTACAACAAAATATTGCAGATTGTCCTTGGAAAACAAGCCTGCCTTTGCCAAAATACTGTCTATAATGGCAGCAGAAACTCACAGGAGACAGTGATGTCTGTGGTGTTTGGAAACTACATGTAGGCCTCACAATAGGAAGCAATAGTTTGGTAAAATGGGTAAAGGGCTGCAGGGAGTCAAATGGAGCCAAAACAACCTTTAAAACAGTCTCAATGTAGCAGTATTAGCACTTGTATAGTGCAAAAGTCTTGGGCAAGAAAATGATGTACATGGAATGGTTGCTACATTGTTGCAGGATAAAGAAGAAGAAAATCATTATATTGTTATTAATGCTGAGCAATTGCCCAGTATTAAGCTTTTAATGGTCTCAACAAATCATTGGTCAGATAATTAGCAAGAACTAAAACACACTCCTGTGACCTGGGCCACTATTTATATTTTATATGTTTGATATAAAATTCAAGCTGACACATGTCTGGGGTCTGAGTGTTTAAAATTTTCCAATTTTTTCTCGCTGCTTGCTGTTGAAATCATTCAAAGCTCAGTGTTTTGCAGTTTTGGGTTTTTATTTGCCCAGAAGTGTGTACATACACATTCCTAAGATTCCCTGTATGAAAATTTCAGGAATTTACTATGCAAATGCATATATATTTGTGCAACGAGCAGTGGCCCCAAGTGATGACAGTAATTTCAGTTTCAGCAAAGACGCACATCCTGGAGCCAGCTGAACTGTTTTGTTTTCTTAGTCGAGACTTGCTGAGTTTCCTAGAGGGCAGTAGAGCCCTACAAGCACAGTGTCCATCCAAGCAGCCTTATTATGGAAGATAATGTACAGATGCAAACTTCAGTATTAAATGAGCTTCCTGAAAACCACTTTGGCACGTCCAAGCATCTCCCATTAGATCTATGGTCCCGTCTCCTCCTGTCTGTCCACAGACAGGTACTCGTGTTTCTCTGTAGGACAAATGAAGGGAAAGCGAAGGACTATGTTAGGTTTACGCAGATTCTACCTATTAGCGTGATGCAAGCATGTGAGCCAATGTGCTGTTCATGATGCTGAGGACATGCTGTCGCACCTTCTGGCTTCACAGCCTCCACTGGGACAGAAAATTTCTGGTGACACCTGAGGAGGACAGCAAACAGCAGAGGCTCTCCAGCCTGAAAGAAGTTGTAGAGTAACGGGAAGAGGTAGAGAGGGCCAATGGTCTCTGGGGGAAAAGCAACCTTCAGGATGGTGGCACAAAGCTGGATATTCTGACAGCCAGTTTCCATAGAAACTGTTCTTCTGCATCTGAGGGAATGAAAAACACTGATTAGGATCTGGTTACATGCTACATATGTTTACAGATGTGTCTTTAGAAGTTTCTTTGTAGAATACTGAACCTTCTGAAAGTTTTGCCTCTGACTGCATTTAGGATTAAAGGCTCTTCAATAAGGCTATTGGTTTGCTATCAACATCGGTAGGGACCAAACCAGCCTGGAGTCCCCCCACCATCTAAACACACACAGTACACCCACAATATTGGTAGTTAAGTGTCTCACGTGTCCATAACCATATCTTCGCCCATGTTCTCCAAATAGACTACAGTGCCGTATAAAGGCAAAACACGATGAAGTACCAAAACTGAGTTTCTACTGAAATCAGGTCTTAGGCTGTTTCGTCATGTGACAAAATATCTTAGTCCAGCTATGCTTGGTTTGGAATGGGTACACATATTGCAAATGGTGGTCAGTGAAACATTTCTGAAGCACTATTTCTTAGTTTTAGTGCCAGCTTAGTTACTGTGTTTTGCCTTTGTAGGGTAGGCTTTTACAGATGGTTGGCAGTGAGGCTCAGGAGACAATAAATATATAATGCTTCTGTATACATTGCTTTGCAGAAGTGTTCAGGTTCTTGTGCCTTTTTCATGTTCTAAGTTGTTCAGCTTTATTAAATACATTAACTTAAAATTGTCAATACATACTAAAGGAAACTCAATTAAAATGTTAGAGATATAGTGATATAAATGCAATAATTAAGACAAGACATAGTTCAGCAGAATACATGATCACTATTAAACTATACAGCAAGCTCTGGATAGGAAAGAACTCCATAGTTGAAAAGAACGATTTTAAAGTGCACCAGGAGTTTTCCAGAAAGCATGACTGCTAAAGAAGAAAAAAAAGATCTTGTTAAGGTTTGCTAGAAAGCTGAGTGTTCACCTTTTAGCAAAATAATAATGCCAAAGATAGAGGCAAATGACATCTCTTTGGCTCAGTAATAAAAATAGACCAGTTCTTAGTTAAGAATTTGTAGGTAATTTGCAAATAAGAAAAAACACACTGAACCAATGTGTAAATATAGATGGATACAAGCTTCAGAATCCCAAAAACTATTAATATGTGGTTAAAATATTAATAAGTGGTTTATCTGCTCTCAGGACTAGGAATATGCACAGAAATAATTTCCAAATAATATATAAAGCTCTGAATAAGGCACTGTCATTTTTAATACATTTATTTATATTAGGTCAGGATGTTTAATACATTCATTAATCTCATAGAGACTCTCACTCTTTATTGATTTTCTTAAATTTTTGTTATTGTTGACCCATGACCCTCAGAAATATGATTCCCCTGTAATCCTCTTGGAGTAGAACATTTGCAGTCTCCCTTATTTCCATTTCTGTTTCCAAAGGGCAAATCACTCACCCTGATATTTGAATTTAGCCATGAGGGACTGGGCTGCCCTGCAAAACCTTGACGGAAGAATTTTCACACGTTTCCTAAAATCTCAGTTCATACTGAAGATTGCAGGAAATGCTTCCCTCAATAGTAACTCATATCTGAAATGGTAGGAATGTGTACTTACGGGCCACTGAACCTGAAGGCTGTGGACAGCAGATAGCCGAGTACATATCCAGTGAGAGGCATCAAAGACGCTGTGGCTATCAGTGGGGGCGTCATTATTAGCATTATCTCGCTTCCGATTGTCATGCCAATGAGGATGGCGATTATCACTGCAGAGACCAGCAGGATGCCCATTCCCATCTGCCGATTACAATCAATCTAAATCAGCCAGAGAGCAGGGACTCGATACTCACCTGTTGTGTCAGCAGCTATACCACCCATAGTTCCGACTAGCTAATTTATCTGCAGCTAAGCAGTTTTGGGCCTAGTCAGTACTTGGATGGGAAACCAACTGTGAAAGCTGGGTCGCTGCTGCCTGAGGTGTTGGTGTGGCTAACAGGGAAAGTCCATCTCTGTGATCATGTGGATCCCAGTGCCCCAGTGCAGTAACATGGACAATGTGCTGTAAATGCATCCTTTAGATGAGATGTAAAAGTGAGGTCCTGATTCTCAGAGGTCATAAATGGTTCTTGGGCATCTTTTGAAAGAGTAGGGGTGGTACTCTGATGTCCAGGCTAAAATCTACCCTTTTACTCTTCCCCTATATCTATCCTACCCCTGCCCCTTCACCACCTTAGCTACTGTGTGGTGAGCGTACTGATGCAGAATGGCTGTCGTTGTATCATCCAGGTGCTACACAGTGGTGGTGGTTGAAGTATCTCCCCATTGATTCTGTAAAGCACTGTGGGTGTCTTGAAAAGTGCTACGTAACATTCACTCACATTAAGATATTAGCATAGCTTGTGACTATGGATTACCTGAATAACAATAATAGAGCTTTTTGTTTTGTGTCACTACTACTACTTTTATTTTTATGAAAGTGCACATGATGTACATCCTGCCAAAATTGTTTGTACAGTATGAATGCTTGGTTACCAAGCATATTTTCTCTATTAAAAACTGAGGCAGTCAATGTTTTTCAGCCTTCACATTACATGTGACCGGATGTTAGATTTAAATAGTGTAAATACGTTAAATCGGCACATTGATCGGATCAGAACGACACTCATTGTAAGGCTTATGCATTGCGTGGACAAATTCTCACCTTTGTGATGATATGTGAGAAGCGAGGAAATCTGTGGTTGATGGCGATGCCAATGGCACATGGCAGAAGTGTCATGAGCAGGGCAATGAAGATACCCATGAAGGGCACAGCATTCTGTATATCTGGGATCCCCTTGCAGTACAGGTACAGGAGTAGTGGCATCATGCCCAGGGCCAGTGCGGTTGAGCAGGTGGTCATCACAATGCTGGCAGAGAAAGGAAGCAAGTTATCCCAATGAGCCTGCAGGACTCTATTTTGGAACCTCACTCAGTTTGTAGTGGGAATCAGTATTTGGGAAGGCTGGAACCTCAGTTTGTGCATCACAAGTAATCACAAACGAAGAAAAAAAACTCCTCAGAGATACTGGATGACTGCTTCCTAACTTTCAATTCTGTTAAAAGTAATAACACTGGAGCATACAACGTTAATGACATAATTGAAGAGCAAATTTCCAAAACTCACTCTTTTTTTGCTGTTTTTGAGATGAGGCTTCCTCCTCATATGGTACAGTACAGGGAACCAAATCTCACTCAGTCCTCATTTGATCCAACAAAATACATTTCGTTGCATTTCCAAAACCCATGAAATGAGTGAGATTTCAAAATTTGCTCTTCAATTAATATTCGTTAGGCTGTTATGTGTACATAATTGTTACATTTGAATGCTTAATGTATTAACCTTGATTTATTGGCTGCTTGAATTAATGGAATAATTCACAGCACAATTCATACCCACAAAAACTTAATATAACACAAATCATGGCTTAACATATGTTAAAATTTTTCCTCTGTGCCCTGGATTTAACATGATTTGATCTATGGCATTAAACGAACAAATTATTAGGGCTAATTTATTAAATAATTTTCTGGAACAAATCTGGCAGACACCCATTTTAAAAAGAAAAATACAATGACAATGTGGCAGAGAATATAATAATACCCTTACGCTGTCTAAATTTTAAGTCCAAACAAATATATGTTATACTCATTTGACTCGACTTATTCACATGCACTTTTGTTGATATTTGAGCTGTAACACATTTGAAGTGGTTTTACAGAAGCTGGTGTGCCAGGGGTATATTGCATAATTTCCCATTAAAATATCAAGTTAGCATGGAAAAATAAATATAATGGAAAAATTGTGCTTGGGAAAAATGTTTTTAATAGATTACATGTAACCTAATTGCCATTCTGTGGGCTCCCCACCCGCAATGTGAAAGGGCCATTTGGGCAGTTAGCATGCGTGAGATTAGACCTGTTACGCACACTGGCTCTGGAGTGTGGAATAAGAGCCCTGTGGCAGGGAAGGGGCCTGGGCTAGTGCGGGAAGCAGAGTCTGCCCTTTGGGAAGGAGGTTTAGCACCTTGGGGTCTCACTCGTGGGAGATGGTGAGAAGGACTGTGGTGCAGATCGGCTCGGTGACTGCAGATTTGTGAGATGTAAGGAGGTCCATGGTGGTGCAATGAGAGTTAAAGAGGAAGCCTGCACTATACTGGTCAGCCCCTATCCTCACTGAGCTGTGGGAAATGACTGAAAGGACAAAGTCTTGAGATGAAGTAGCCCAAATGAGGGGTGCAGGGCTGCCTGACTCACTCTGCACGAGATAATATGGAGATTGAGTGACCTCAAAATAGAGCTGCTGCTCCTTTGGATAGAGATTAGTCACTTGAGCAGTTCTGGGCAAGACCCAGCACTATAGCCCATTATCAGAGTGTAACTCAGGGTTAGCAGCATGATCCTGAAGTGCTGGTATCCAACAGGTTTTCCATCCTACCCCATGAGCTACTATCTACCTTGCCCTGATGTAACTGGTTATAAGAAGCTACTCAAATCAGTGTTGAATAATGTGAAGCTATTTCCATTGTGGTAAATGGAAAATTATAGTTATGAAAAATAATTTGTTCCAGGTCCATTAAAGAAAGTCAGTTATTTTCCCTTAAATATCCCTAACAATATTTCAGCATGATCAGCAACACTTTTAGCTCCAGTTACCTAAATACCAAACAGTTAATGCAGTAATAGTTTGAATTTGAGCTTAAAGTTTGAATTTGAGTTTTTTTGGAGTACCATATATTGTTTGTAATAGTCACACAAAACTAAGAAATAAAAATAAGATATAAATGCAAAATGCACCTAATGTAATGGGCCATTATTGTAACTACTTGTCAGTGGGAACTAATACTCAGTAATTTCAAATAGTCCTCTAATGCTTCAGCTATGTTCACCATTGCTGTGCCAGAACTTCCTCACTCAGATATCAAATATGGTCATTAATGTGAACTGTGTAAATAATAAGAGGAGAATCCCAGGATGGTGCCTCTTTCTGTATGCTGAAACTGCCACGTCTGGCACCAGTGGTCACACCATGGTTGGCATCACTCACATAATGTGTCTTAGCCCTTCTAATGTCTAGCCATACAGTAACTGAACCTCTTAAACTTGTCTATCTGCTGTATGTACAGTTGGCTCTTTGTATCCATAGGCGATTGATTCCAGGACCCCCTGCAGATACCAAAATCCATGGATGCTCAAGTCCCTTACATAAAATGCTGCAGTAATGGTGTATAGCCTATGCACATCCTCATGTATCCTTTAAATCAGTGTATTTCAACCTTTTCTGAGCCACGGCACATTTTTTACACTGAAAAAATCTCACGGTACACCACCAACCAAAAATGTTACAAAATGACACTCTGTAGCCTAGTAATGAGAAATAGTTTCTCAATTTATTTATACTCACTCAGTGTGAAACCTGAGCCTGTTTGGATGAACACACTAGTGTGCCACGGGCCAGTGGTTGAAAATCACTGCTTTAAATCATACTGTGTGCAGGTTTGGTCACCATACCTCAAGAAGGACATTGCTGCCTTAGAAAAGGTGCAACGAAGAGCTACGAGAATGATTCCTGGTCTTAGAGGAATGTCTTATGAGGAGAGGTTAGCGGAACTGAATCTGTTTAGCCTTGAGCAAAGGAGACAAAGGGGGGATATGATTCAGGTCTATAAGATTCAGTGTTGTCATCTTACTTTTAAAAA